TTTCTACTCTTTTCTGCTTCTTTAAGTCTGCTTTCTACTCTTTTTTCTGCTTCTTTAAGTCTGCTTTCTACTCTTTTTTCTGCTTCTTTAAGTCTGCTTTCTACTCTTTTTCTGCTTCTTGATGTCTCCCTTTGCCTCTCTTCTCGTCCTTCTCTTTGTCTCTGTTCTCTATCTCTTCAGGCAGGAACATAAACCACACAAGAGAGAAATTCAAAAACATTACATTTTGGTTAACTTTATATATAACCTAGCACTGTATTATATTGGAGGTTTATCTACATAAACAATATTTCTAATCATAAGAGTCACTGCTGGCTTTCAAAAAATGCACGGACAGTCTCTCTCACTCGGCCACAAATTTCTTTTCAGATATTCAACATTTCTGCCTCCCTCCCCCAATATTACTTACACTGTGATGGCGATCGCTGAAGAAACTGACAGCGAAAAGCCCGTAAAGTGCATCACAATAGATACCTTTTCTACAATCAAAACCAAATGGCAAAGTGAGTAGAACATGAACCTGACAGAATTGGTGGGTGGATGCACTGAATAGGGTGAACACATCTACGTCTTGTGCCAGACTTGGTCTCATTCAGTTTAAAGTGGTCCATAAGATGCATTTTAGTAACAGCAAACTAGCTAAAATATTCCCAGGTCACGACCCAGGATGTAACCGTTATGATTATCCTCAAGCAGATTTACTCCACATGTTTTGGGCATGTCCTAAACTTGAACACTTCTGGTACTATATTTTTGATATTTTAACTATAGTTTTAGGGATCAAGGTACAACCGTGCCCTCTTCTGGCAGTCTTTGGAATCCCAGCCAAATCCATCCTATATAGTACCAAAGAGGACATTATTGCCTTTACCACTCTTCTAGCGCATCACAGAATACTTGTTACTTGGAAATCTCCAAGTTCACCATCTCAGTCTGCCTGGCTTAAGGATGTGATGTTTTTCTTAAGTCTTGAAAAAATGAAATATGCACTTAGAGGCTGAAATAACAATTTCGCTAAGAAATGGCAATCTTTCATTTCATATTTTCATAATCTATTAGTGTTGCCCACCGAATGAGATATGTCTGGTAATTTGTACTGCTCTATCTGGTCCTCTGTCCTTCCCTTATCTGTCTGATTAACTGCAATTTAACCTAACTACTGAACTATAGTTTTACAATACTATACTACATAAACTTTACGTAAACAAATGTGAAGGCCTTGTTTGTGGGTGGGTGTTTTGATTTAAGTTGCTCTTTGTTTTTTGTTTTGTTTGTTTGATATTTTTTGCTTTTCTTTCTTGTTATTTTCTCCTTTAAACTGAGTAACATGTGCACAAAAAATGAAAATACTTGTGCACTCTCATCAATAAAGTATATATATATAAAAAAAAAAAAGTGCGTCACACCGGAAATGTCCGAGCCAGGCCAATAGCGGCTAATGCCGTCCAAGCCAGGAAACAGAGATGCTACATGTCTACTGTTTAATGGTGTAGCTGGTATCTCTGTAACACTAACATCTTTTAAATATATATATATATATAGTATGTTGTTTTACTCATTGTTTTGTTGTGCTGTTAAAGGCAAGAGACCACATATAGAGACACATGAATGTGTTGTAACTCTGTTGTCTTTCATTCTGTACACATATTGATCACACTTCTGTCCATCCTGACAGAGATCCCTCCTCTGTTGCTCTCCCACAGGTCTCTTCCTCTTTTCTCCCCGTTAAAGGGTTATAATAGCTTATCTATAGGCTACCCTTTCTTTATCCTTAATATTTATGACTAATTGCGTTAAGTTTTATTTTTTTCCAACACTTGTTTTATATGCACGTATCCACCATATAAACTCCTGAAACATTTAAAGGAAAAGGATTATTTTGTTATTGTTTGCACTGCCAACAATCATGTTTTTTTTTCTATTTCATTGTCGTATTTAAAGAACATTGTTCATGTTATATTTTAATTGTTGCTTAATAAATACAAATTGTTGCCTGTGTCACATGGTTTTCTTTGTTCTCTAAGTGGAAACTGTTGATGTGTTACTATGACTATGTAAATTACTTTTAAGTTTAAAAGATTATGGTTAACTTTCAAAAGTGGTTTGAAATTGAAATTTCTTTTACAGAGTATTTGAAGAGGTTGATTAAATGTTCATGTTTATACCAGGATTTGCAATATTGGCTTTCATGTGAGAAATGTGGATGTGGTTTCTTAGTTAGGCTCCAAAACTATGGCAAATCCAGGTAAAATACGGTCTTAATGTGAGCGTTTAATCAACGTCTTCAAATAGTCTGTGAAAGAACTTTCACTATTATTTTTGAACGTCTTCCCACCAGTGACTATATTTGAATTTTTTTAAATGTCTTTTCATTGGAAAAATGCTGACTGGGGGCTTTCAAATGTAGTCAAAGAAAGAACTTTAAAAAGTTTGTGATTTACATAGAGCTTTGAGGAAATCACAGGAAAGAACATTTCAAGCAAAAACTTTTTGCGTTTTATTGATCCTGCACAAAAATCATTTCAACGGCCCTGTGGGTCGGTAATATCTCCTTTCCTTTGGTAAAGGATGGTCCATTGTATCCTATGCTAAAGGAGATAAGAAAGGAAGCATTGAAGCTCCTTTCCTTAGCATTTAGAGAATTGGACCAGCTCTTATCTCGTCTGCTACTTTGATACTTCTGGAACCTTCCTAAGCAAAAAGACTTTTTGACCGCAGCCTGGGTGACGCTGGGAATATCCTCATTAGGATATTGTTAGACAGGTTGGAGTGTTTTGCGAAATTGTGATGCCCCTACACGGAATGCCCTGGTTATTAGGTGTTAACCAGCACCTTAAAAACAACAAATAAAAAATTTAGAAAAACAAAAATGAAATCGAGAGACATAGGGAGCTGTGACTCTTGTAAAATTGTACCTGTTGCATAGATATGTTTCTGTTGTCACACACCCTCTGCGCACTGATGTGTGGGTGGGGGTGCACACACACACGCACACTCACGTTTGTGAGGCTGTCCAGGTGGCGATTTCTTGGTGATTGGGTTAATAACCTACTTTCCTGACAGTGACCCACTTTCAGGGGGACAGGTGGAGGTGAAGTGATGTTTGCACAGCTGCACTCACGTTATTGGCGTTCTGCCTTAAGCACCGGCACCTGATCACGTCTCTGCACTCACGTTAGTTACTTATTATCCTTTATGGTTACTTTAAGCTTCGGTTAGGGTCATTGGACCGCGTCTGCATTCCTGCACATAGGCACAATTTACGCAAATGTATACATATATATAACAATACCCTGTCATTAATCTTACACTGGGCAAAAAAGGTGTATTATATTTTTATCATGTATCCCTGTACCCTGTTGGAACATACGCTGAATATGCATGTATATGTATCTGAATATTATCATCAATCAGTGAGCAAGGTGTGTCATGTGTCCTGAGTACCAGCAGATGTCATTGTGTTGACATATACATTTGACCTGGATGGACAGTATGCTCATCCATGTATGACTAAATTTATGGGGGGTTAACATGACGCTATCATGACCCACAGGGGAGTATAAATATTCTCGGTTTTAAAGGATCGAGGCTTAGTCGGGGGAGAATTCCACCAGGTCTGAACCTGCGCTGGGTTAATCTTTAACTTTTTACAAATCTCCAGACATTTGAAAACAGCCTGCTCACTGAGGGTTCAGGGGTTTTTAAATTTTGTTGATTTTTATATTTTTATGTTAATCATTTTTTCTCTGTATTTGGACCAAAATAATATACTTTGAATTGGACAAAAATAAATAAGTAACGATTTAACTTTTTCGGCCGACTCTTTTTCTTCATCTGTTTTGGGAAATCAGAGAGGAGAGGGCTCCTCTTATGGGGGAGACCTCCCAGCCCCTGCGGTAAATTGACGGAGCTCCAGCACGGCACACGACTGATGCATACTTTATGCGCACACACATCTACACACACTACGCATCCGTTTTCTATAGTTAAGAGAGACCCGGGGAAGTCCCGCTTGAGTTTGAAAGAGCTTTATATCTGTTGGGCTCTGAGCAGGGAAAAACAAATTTGTAAGACTTTATAAAACCGACGGCTATTCGAGCGACAGATTATACTATTTAGTATATCTATGTTTGCCGATTCGGAAAAGAAAGCAAACGAGCTATCGATCGTGCTTTTGTTGGCGATTTATTACTATTTAGTGCAATCGGCTACCGGTATAGGTTTCTCTTAAGCGGAGGCAATCGAGGCAAATCAGGGAGAAGTGAGCGGGAGCCACTCTCCCTCAGGCCAGGTGAGCGAGTCACATAGAGAGAACTGAACTCTGCCTCTCTTCCCCTTCTCGCAGTCTCTTGCTGCAACAGGGGCGCTCACAGGGGGCGACCGGACAGCGGGGCACGAGTCCCGTGGATCCGTGGTCACCCCGGCGGCAGCTCGGGTCTGCCCGTCGCCGGCGAGGTCCTCTCAGTTCGCGTATACACTGCTGAGGGATCCTCGCTCCACTTTTGTTCGTTTCAAACAAAAAGGCCTCCTATTTATTTATTACTTTTAATTTTTTGATAAATTAAATTTTTTATTTTTTTTTTAAAATATATAACTTAAATTGAGAAAGCGTGCGGGGGCACCGTGCGCTACAATATAATGGGTGTTATATGGGTGTCAAGTTTTAATTTGTATCTTTTGATTTTTTTTGTTTGTTTATTTGTGTCATTGACAATCCTTTTAAATATAAATTATTTAGGTGTATGTAAAAAGTGAGGGAAACTGGAGTGAGTTATAAAGGAAAAGGGCATCCACTCACCCTAACCCTGAAAAAAATATATATTCTTGAAAAACAAAACTTTTTTGATCTCAGCTTCAAAGGTGATATGTTGATGTTGTGTTCACAATTTAGTTCTGGCCAAACAAATCAGTTATTTGGTTTAGTTTTTTAATTACAGTAAAGTTAACCCTGACCAGAGACTGATGGGATCATGAAGCATAAATCATAAAGACAAAACGTGTTTAGTTTTTTAGCTAGCTTTCTTATTAATATTTTATTTCTTCGATTATTTCACCGTGTTAGTTACAATAATATGGGTATTCCCATTTTTGTACATTTGCTGGACAACATTTACAAGCAGAATGTTTCATTCAAATGTCTTCAAAAAATAAGGGTGCCGTCTTTTGCTATAATTACATTTTCATTAAGTTTACACACCTCACCTGTTTTTGCTGTGCTTACTTCACTTGTAATTTCTATTTTCATGTCATAATACCAAATAATCTGCAGATTATAAGACTGTTAAATCTAGTCTCTGCTGCTCACCAGTGAATCAAATGGAGAAACAAAATAAAGAAAAAGCAGTTAATCAAGGAGGCTAATGGCTAATTCAGTGTCTGTGTAAACAAAAAGCAAAAACAGACACATTATGTGTCAATCATTTCTATATTTTACATGTTACCTTAAATAATGTCAAGAAAAAGACCCCACCCCTTAATATTCATAAAATTGAGCCCTTCAACTCAACGTGAATCCAACAAAGATTAAGAATAATTGATAGAGATCAAAGCAAATAAAATACCACAGTTGACTCCACTGGGTTAACAGGTCTGAAAAGAACAACCCTGAGTAAGTGCTGAGGAGGACAATGTCAGCTGTTCAGAGTCAGCGTTGCAGCCTGAAGAGCTTTCACTGGCTCAACTTGGAGTTGCGATGCAGCACTGGGACGTTAGGATGTTGGACTGAGGACAGCTGATGTGAAGATGTATCCAACCTTCATCAACCCTGACCTGTGGCAACACTTGCATGATTTAAATAAACCCTGGAAAGAGGTACTGTAGGAGGAGAACGACTCCCATCACCACAAGGCCACAGAGGAACAGCACGAGCCAGATAGAAAAGGATCCTACAGAAGATGGAAAACAAAGGGACAAAAGATAAGGTGACAAGGTTTGTAGTTATGATACATGGGCTAAGTGTGTTCATTGGATGATGATGCCGGACTTACTTCGGTTGGGGACAGTATGTACCTGACAGCGGCTGTCCACAGCTACACTCAACATGGCTGTTTCATTATTCCCTTTGATATTTTTGCCTTTCAGAGAGTCAGGCAGGAAGGCCAGGTCTGTCACAACAATGCCATGGGACTCCTGTACATAATACAGCTTCTACACACACAAAGAGTAAGTACAAGTTATCATCATACATCAGGGCTCCTTGGTTGATTTGTGTTCCTTAGTTTGAGATGTGTGTCCACACTGTCTTTACCTGGAGGGAGAAAGCGATGTAGATAGCCACTGAACCTGTCACAGTTCCAAGGCCAAGAAATGTTCCAGAGTCGCTGTCAAAGAAAAGGTTCAAGTTAACATCTTGACACTCTCTGGTCCCTTGGTTGATTTTCTCCCATCCACCAATCAATTGTTTGAAGAGAGGACCAATATTTTCTTTGGTTGACTACAGCCCTACTGCAAGAAATATAATGGTTGTATCATAAAATGTCTGATTAACTTTTCCAAACAAAATGACATACGCTAAAGTGCTTTAAGACAACAATGCATAGTAGGATACAAAAACATTCCTTCCCCTATTTAACTGAAAAATACTTTTTTTTCCCCTTAATTGCATAGTGAGGTAAACACTATAGATCAAAATTCGACTTGCCTTTCAAGGACCACGCCACTGGTTTTGCACAATTACGCTAGTGTGAATGCTGATTGGACTCTAAACTACTTCTGCAACAATCAAAATATTCAGCTTTAAAGGACATCTCTGCTATGACACTCAATGAAACTCAATGGAGAAAATCTTCAAATCTGCTTAAACATACTGTACTTTGAAATGCTACAGCTTCCGCATACTTTCAGCTACAGACTTCATTTAACCTTTAAACAGACTACAACACTTAACTATTATGGTATGATTCAGCTTTTTTAAGTCTTTTACAGTTTTTGAATTTTTTAGGCTTTAATCTGTTTTCTGGCAATCTTAATCTTAATCTCTTAAATAGAGATGATAGGAGTTTTTAATTGACGACATCTGCTACTACAATTACTATTACTACTGCTGCTGCTGAATGCATATGACATAAATGATTCATATAATGAGTAGTAAGCAGAATAATGATAGAAAAATTACAACTACGAAGACAAATATAGTGGATATAGTAGAATAATAATGATGATAAAAGCAGTAATGGTATCAGTAACAGTAATAGAAAAGGCAGTACCATTTATTGTGATAGAAGGTGGATAGAAATGTAACACAGAGACTGGCATATACCATGGTGTGTATGTGTACCAGAATACTTAGAAGTATGTACGTGCTACAGCAGATTATTAAGGGTTGGACTCTAGGATTGGATGGGGAAGTCCAGTTTTTGCCAAAGCCCGAACTAGACTCTAAACACTTTGACCAGCCTGGCTACCTGAACTGTGCAGTTTGCTCTTCCTCATGGACAAAGATGATCTTGTTTGTCGCTGTACAGCTGTCCTCTCTGCTAATGACCTTCGCAAGCGGTGATGAATATTAACCTAATTTATTGTTGGAATGCTGTTATACATTCCAACTATTGTTATCCTGTTTCTCTTTATTGTTGGAATGCTGCATTCCAACTATTGTTCTTCGAATCTTTATTCCTCCTTATTTTATATTTCTTCCGTACACTTTTTGCTACTTAAGTCCTACATTTTTTAAGCTACAGAAACCGTTCAACTATCAAAATGTTCAGCTCTTTCAGCTCATGTCTGCTATGACTTTTCATATTTCTAACCTTTAAACTTTTTGAATTAAGCTTTTTGCAATTTTTATTTTGAATGGGATGTCTATGGAGAAAATTTTCAAATCCTCTTAAACTTCTTCACTTTCAAATCCTTCTACTTCCTCATACTTTCAGCTACAGGCACCATTTCAACTTTAAAATGTTGAGAAAACCCTGAGCTATTGCAGAATGATTCAGCTTTTTGATATCTTTTACACTTTTTGAACTGCAGCAATTTAACTTTTATGATTTTTTCAGCCCTTTTCTGACTTTATAATGGGTGTGTATTGCGCAGCTTAGAGTGCGTGATGTCACCGCTAGAGTGAAGAGCAGCTTGAGATTCTTGTGAAAAAAACATTTGTCTTTTGCCACTGTGTCCACAATCTTCACTCTTCATGCATCATTTTTGATGGAGAAGTAGCTAATCTTGTCCTTGTCGTAGACAGATGTCTATGGAATCCCACAGATTTACACATTTGGCTCAAGGAGCCGCAGAGCGACATGAACTCCAACAAACTGCTCCATTAGACTCCATGTTAAATCTGACCACTCATTTCTCAAAGAAAGCAGACGGTACCAGTTTTGTCTATTGCTCTGGAGCTCACATTTTTAACACCCCAAAACATAAAAAACACATTACCGCGTTCGGCAGAGTCTTATCTTTCTCACGGTATCCATATTTTGGCACTCAGACTCCTGCTTTTTGTTAAAAGGGGCTTTGTTCAAAATCACTGTTTACTGTAATGTTTCTTAAATCAGTCTGCCTTTAACACCAGGTGCGTCGTCACCATGGCAACCAGTTACACACACGCACGGAGGCTCTCTCTCTCTCTCTCTCTCTCATACAGTCATTCAGGTCTTACAGATTTTAAGAGGAATTTCCACCCCCCCACCCCATTTCAAAATAAAAGCCCCAGAGAGTGAACTCTACCTGAAATGCTTTTGATGAAGACTGTCATTTAATAACCTGTGTTTCATACATTCTGATTCTGTCTCCTCTCCTTTCTCCCCCACCCAGCCCCACTCTTTCAAAATAAAAGCCTCATGGATTAACTGTATTTAAACGTTAAGCTCAAAATCAGGCTTTTTTGTTGAAAAACTTAATGCTACTACTACTACTACTAATACTGCTACTACTTCTACTATAACTTTTGCTGTTGCTACTATTACTACTACTACTGCTACCAACAATATTATTACTACCACCACTGCTATTACTACCACTACTACTATTACTTATACTACAACTGCTACTACTGCTATTCATGCTACTACAAGTAGTATTACTACTACGGCTATTAGTACAACTGCTACTACTGCTACTGCTGCTACTGCCATTACTATTACTACTATAACTACTTCTACTACTACTGTTATATTAAATACTACGACCAATACTACAGCTATTACTACGACTACTGATACTACTACTTCTACTACTTCTTCTAATTACTAATACTTCTACTAATACTTCTACTACAACTACAACTTCCACTACTACAAATATCACTACAGGACTTTTCCCTTTCAAAATGTTCAGCTCTTTCAGGAGAGGGGTGCTTTGACTTGTCATATTTGTAATCTTTTAACTTTTTGAAATATTAAGCTATGTGCAATTTTTTTTTAATGGGATCTCTATAGAGAAAATCTTCAAATCCTGTTAAACTTCAACTTTCAAAAGCCTTCTTCTTCTCATACTTTCAGCTACAGACACCATAGTTAGACATTTCAACTAGAAGGGTTTTCAGCAGTGCAGTTTAAATGCTTTCGAGCTTCAGCATTTTTCAGACAGGTAGTCTCCCATTTCTTAATTTTCAGCAATTTTTTTACAATTAATTTCAGCTTTCAGCATTCCAATGCTTTTTCAGCAGGAAATGCATTTTCTAGTTACTAGGGCTGGGCAACGATTACAATTTTTTAAATCGCGATTAATCGCATGATGTTTTTGCGATTAATCGCATTTTGATGCCCAAAATTCAATAATGAATTAAAAAGTAGTGTATTGCGCACTTTTATTTTAAAAGTACTGCTACATGAACAAAAGTGCAATAACATTTGGTTTGCAAACACTTTAAACCAGACATGTCAAACTCAAGGCCCGCGGGCCGAATCCAGCCCGCAACGTCATATGTGGCCCGCAAATCCCCCAGCAAAAAAAAAAAAAAAAGATACAATTGTTTTTTGTTTTTTTTTTAAATTAGACTTGAAAATATAAATATCCCCATGGTCGAAATTATGAGATAGAAAGTCGAAATTATGAGATAGCATGTTGTCTGTGTGCCGACATTAAAACTATCACAACAGGTGGACAGGAGAGGCAACAGCCCGTAAAGCGGTTTTCCACCAAGTGATTGAGTTGAAAATGATCAACAAATAATCCCAAAATGTCCACGAAGAGAAAAATTGATGCAGAGGGAAGAAAATTTAATGAAAGATGGGAAAGCGAATACATGTTTGTGCTTCAAGGGGAAAAACCGGTCTTCTGTGCTATGAGGCAGTGTCGGTAATGAAGGAATACAATTTACGTCGGCATTTTGACACCAAACACAGAGCTAAATTTAGCCTCCAAGAAAAACATAAAATCGACCAAGAATTAAAAGGCAGACTGCAATCACAGCAGAATATATTTACAAAAGCTACAGCCCAGTGCATGCTAAAGGTATGTGAGCAGGTGTGCCCCACCCAGATACAGACTTTTACAAATGTCAGTTTGTGAAGAAACACCATCGCAGGAACTAGCAGGCAATCTAACAACACAGCTAGCCGAAGAGACGAGTTACTTGTCTTTTTCATTAGCTGTTGATGAAAGCACAGACAACACGGACACAGCGCATCTATCAATGTTCATAAGAGACTGAAGGCAGACTTGACCGTCAGTGAGGAGCTCTTGGATGTAGCTACCATGCACGGGACGGCAGGGAGGAACATTAGTGATGCAGAGAGGTGACAAAAATAGCTTTGAACAAAGTTAATGTAATAACTTGTGTTTGATATTTGTCTTTGCTATTTTCTTTAAAAGTTTGATCTTTGATAGAGTAATGTGGGTTTCTTAACCCTATTAAAATGATTTATGTTATAATTAGGGCTGGGCAAGTTAGCGCAGTTTTTCTTTTTTTGTTATTAAGCTGACATTTTTAACACAAAAACCAGCAGCGAGCGGTGAACAGCTGTTTGTGTGTGTGTCTGTGTGGCGTCACTTCCTTCTCTTCCTGCTGCTGCCGCCCCCTCCCCCTTCACTCCGTCGGTCCCTCCTGTCTCACACACGCGCGATCGTCTCGTTACAGGATCAGACGTGACAATATTAAAATACATATTGTCGTATTTTTAAATGAACATATAAGCACATGAGAACAAACTGCTCTTAACTGCAACTCTTTATTAGCATAACTTCCTCATGCAGGTTACTGCCACGGTACAGACTACAGGTTCCATGCTTCACCTACAGTCCCCTGGGTCCGAAGTCCCTCCATGTACAGCTTCTTATCACCCTCTATGTACCAACCTATATTTATAACAAATACCACACAGTTTTTAAAGTTGTTTTGTTTGGAATATGTATAATAAGCATATCATTTAGTTATCGCTACTGAGAATTTAAAAACATGACGTAGATAGGTTTGCAGTTTTCAAGGTGTGTATTACAAATTTAATCTATTACACACATGAAGATAAAGTTGTGAACAACAGCTGAATATCTATTATCAGAATCATTATAGCTGTATTTTAACTGTTACTGTGTAAAGGGAATACTGCTGTTAAAAAGAACCTTATTTGTTTATAGCAGGGGTCTTCAACGTTTTTCAGGCCAAGGACCCCCAAACTGATAGAGAGATGGAGCAGGGACCCCTGCGATGTATAAACATACCTCTTTATTGTGCATTCAATACTAAGCTATTCAAACAATACAGTTTCATATTCATGTTTTTATTTTAAACATGTGCAAGGTACAGTGAGTAGGGTCGCTGTGCCACTGCCATTTATAAACATACCTTGTCAGCTGATATCAATAGCAACATTGTCTGTTAATTGCATGACAATCATGCATACAAGCTATTCAAACTGATGTTTTCATTTTAAACATAAATGTGGAAACGAAAAATGTGTGATGGCCTATTAGTGCCACTGCCATGCATAAAGATACCTGTTATCTTTCATACAATACTAAACTATTAAAATAATGGACAGATTCATGTTTAGAGAAAAAAAAAATGTATTTATTATTATTTTTTTTTTAATTGTCTAATCAACCAAAACTTTCCGCGGACCCCCTGTTGAAGACCTCTTTAAAGTGTTTGTAAACCAAATGTTAATGCACTTTTGTTCATATAGCAGTACTTTTAAAATAAAAGTGCGCAATACACTACTTTGAATTCATTATTGAATTTTGCGCATTACAATGCGATTAAACGCGATTAAAAATTGTAATCGTTGCCCAGCACTAGTTATAATAACAGAAATGTGCTTAAATATAATTTTACATTTATATAACTGCATGTACAATCTTTGTACACTTGAATAAACAATAATCAAATGCAGAGACAATTATTTAACGATATGTTAGGGAGTAGTTACAACCGGCCCTTTGAGGGCAACCATGATGCTGATGTGGCCCAGGGTGAAAATTAGTTTGACACCTCTGCTTTAAACAAAGAAGGTGCTTTGTAACAGCAGTATTCCCTTTACACAGTAGCAGTTATAATACAGTAGTGATTCTGATAATTGATAGATTTGTTAAATTCTCAGTAGCGATATCTAAATGATATGTTTATTATACAAATTCCAAACAAAAACACTTTAAAAACTCTAAAAAAATAATTTAAATTAATCATTTATTTTTTTGGTATTTTGGTCAGACACATATGCAACGCTGATTACCGTAATATGTGTGGTATTTGTTATAAATGTACGTTGGTCCATAGAGGGTGATAAGAAGCTGTACTTGAAGGGACTTAGGACCCAGGGGAATGTAGGGGAAGGAAACAGGAAGAGACGCCACACAAACACAGCTGTTCACCGCCCGCCGGCAGGTTCTTGTGTTAAGAATGTCCGCTTAATAATAATTTTAAAAACTGCGTTAACGAATGATAAAATAATTGTCGGCGTTAATTAATTAATGCGTTAACGCGATAATAACGCGTTAACTTGCCCAGCACTAATAATTACCTTTAACTGAAGCACTTAGTTTGGACATTTTCTTTTCGTTAGCCCAAGATTCAACTATGACTGCAGTTATTGGGGCTGAAGTGTCAACATTAGCTGGCAACGATGTGTACACTGTGCATGTCAAGTAGTGAGAGCTGATGAGAGCTCCTACCGCCGACGCTCGTCATTTTAACCCGTGAAAGTGACAGAAATAGGCTATCATTATTAGGCTTCTAATGTATTTTGTGACGACCCTCCTCCTATCATACACTAGGTGCCGGTTGCGTTTCATCTATTACAGGTGCTGAGTGGAGGATCGTCAGTAGGATGAGCCTCACCTGTGCTGGTGTGGCTCATCCTTAAATACCCTTTCCAGTTGGCAGCCGGGCTCTCTGGAAGGAAGACCTTTGTTGATGGGATCACCACAGTTATTGCTGTCTTTGTGAAAGTGCTGTTAACGTTGGGTTACGTGTTTTTGGCGAGACCAATAAACTACTACTTTTGGCCGCCAGCTCATTGTCTCCCTGTTTTGTTCCAGTTTCTGAGCCGGGCTGTGACAATTTCTTTAATAAAATATCAGCTTCTGGGGAAAAATCCTTTGCTATTTATTCCCTGTAGCTCTCTCCAAACAGCTACCGCTCGTGCAAAAAGAAAAACGGCTTTGGTTGCTGGGTCCTCATTAGACCTCCAAAATCAAACAAAGTCAGGCTTTTGATGCATGTTCATCCGTTTAAAATAATAGTTGTACTTCAAAACGGCCCTTTTGACTTAAATCCTATCATGACAATCTCATGGAAGCAATGTTTGTTACACGAGTTATTTATACAACAGACTGTTAAGGCTATTGTATGATTGAATCTGTTATGAAAACTTAAATATATATACAGGTGCTGGTCATATAATTAGAATATCATCAGAAAGTTGATTTATTTCACTAATTCCATTCAAAAAGTGAAACTTGTCTGTTATATTCATTCATTACACACAGACTGATATATTTCAAATGTTTATTTCTTTTAATTTTGATGATTATAACTGACAACTAAGGAAAATCCCAAATTCAGTATCTCAGAAAATTAGAATATTACTTAAGACCAATACAAAGAAAGGATTTTTAGAAATCTTGGCCAA